TTGAGTCTTTACACACTGACGACTGCGCCTCCTCAGGTAGCTGCTACTGGTCAGGTGTCTGCGTCAGGTCAGGTAGCCTCCACTTGTGAGTGTCGCTCCTTGTCGCACCAGACTCTTCTCTGGCACCACCGCCTGGGTCACCCCTCCTTGCCACGTTTACGTGGCATGCACCGTCGCCTCCTTGTGTCTGGTCTTCCCAGGTCTCTCCCTCCCCTCCCTGCCTCGCCTGTGCCGCCCTGCCTTCCTTGCGTTGACGGGCGGCAGCGCGCCGCTCCTCACTCCTCCTCGTTTACCCCGACAGAGGCTCCTCTGCAGACCCTCCACCTTGACGCGTGGGGCCCAGCCCGCGTTCGTGGACATGGCGGTGAGCGGTACTTTCTGCTGTTTGTCGACGACTACTCGCGTTACACCACGGTCTTCCCCTTGCGCACCAAGGGTGAAGTCCCTGCTGTCCTGATCCCTTGGATCCGAGCAGTTCGTCTCCAGCTCCGCCGCAGGTTCCGCCAGGACCTTCCTGTCCTGCGTCTGCACGGAGGGCATCGAGCAGTCGTTCACGCTTCCGGGCTCACCGCAGCAAAATGGGGTTGCTGAGCGCCGCATTGGCTTGGTCATGGAGGTCGCTCGTACCTCCTTGATCCATGCGGCGGCTCCCCATTTTCTGTGGCCGTTTGCGGTCCGGTACGCCGCGCAGCAGCTCAACCTCTGGCCCCGTGTCTCCTTGTCGGAGACCTCGCCCACACTGCGTTGGATGGGGGAGGTTGGCGATGCGTCGCATTTCCGGGTTTAGGGTGCTCGTGCCCTTGTCCGCGATACGTCCGCGGACAAGCTCTCCTCCCGCACCATTCCCTGTGTCTTCCTTGGCTTTGTCCCTGACGCGCCTGGCTGGCAGTTTTACCACCCCACCTCGCGTCGTGTCCTGCCCTCTCAGGACGTCACCTTTGACGAGTCGGTTCCTTTCTACCGTCTCTTCCCCTACTTCACTGCCCCTCTCCCTCCCCCGCCGCTTTTCCTCGCTCCAGGTCCCCCTCCGGTAGACCCCCTCCCCCCTCAGGGTCCTGCTCCTTCAGGTGTGTCTCAGGTAGACCCGCTCCCCTTGGCTGAGCCTGTAGAGGTCACTAGTGACCCAAGTGCTGCTCCGGGAGGTGCTGTTGGAGGTGCTGCGTCTGGGGGTGCTGAGCGTGTGCGTGAGGTGCTAGGGGGTGCGGTGCCTGGGGGTGCTGAGCCTGCGCGTGCGGGGCCTGGGGGTGCTGAGCCTACGAGTGTGGAGCCTAGGGGTGCTGCGCCGGAGGATGCCGTGTCGGGGGGTGCTGAGTCGGCTGGCGTTCCTCCGGGTCTCGTTTCCCGACGTGGGCTTCTCTCACCACAGCAGGCACGAGAGTGGCTTGCGTCGCATACCCGCCTGAGGAGTCGTGCTACTGGAGCTGCTTGTCGTGGGGGCACTGGGAGTACTGGTGTCTGTGGTTCTGGAGGTGCTCGTACTGGAGGTACTGGAGCTGCCGGGACTAGTACTGCTCCTGGAGCTGGAGGTGTCGGTTCTGGGGGTGCTGCTGCTGGAGGTACTGGGGTTGGAGGCCCTGGAGCTGGTGCTGTCGACCCTGGAGTTGGAGACCCTGGAGCTGGAGGTGCCGGTTCTGGGGGTGCTGCTGCTGGAGGTACTGGGGCTGGAGGCCCTGGAGCTGGTGCTGTCGACCCTAGAGCTGGAGGTGCCGGTTCTGGGGGTGCTACTGCTGGAGGAGCTGGAGCTGGAGGCCATAGAGCTAGTACTGTCGACCCTAGAGTTGGGGACCCTGGAACTGGAGGTGCTGGTTCTGGGGGTGCTGCTGCTGGTGGCGCTGGAGCCGGAGGTGCTGCTGCTGGTGGCGCTGGAGCTGGGGGTTCTGGAGGTGTTGGAGGCGCTGGAGCTGGAGGTTCTGGAGCTGCTGGAGGCGCTGGAGCTGGAGGTTCTGGAGCTGCTGGAGGCGCTGGAGCTGGAGGTTCTGGAGCTGCTAGAGGCGCTGGAGCTACTGGTGCTGGTGGCACTGCCCAGCCGCGACTGTTTTTCGCTCCGCCATCACCGTCGTCTCTGCTTCGCCAGGTTCTTAGCCTCCCGTCTTCTACTGGCCTCCCGTTACAGCCAGGCGCACCACTGCCTGCTCCTTCTCCTTACACTGAGCAGACAGACTCGCTTACAGAGCGTCGTGAGCCTGCATCTTGTCCTGCCTCGCCTTTTCGCGCTGGTCGCACTGGTTGTCGTGCTCCTCGTGAGTGTCCGCCTCCTGTCCCTGGCACGCACGCTATGGCACTTCGTCCTTCCTCTGTTCCACAGCGTGTTCCCCTGCCGTCTCCTCCTGCGTCCTCTCTTGCTGACGGACCCGACCCTGAGTCTGACCTGGTTCGTGCTGCTCACCCTACTGTCACGCGTCTGCTAGCCACTGTTGTCACTGACCCGTCGTTTGAGTCTGCTGCTGCGTCTGCCTTAGTCTCTGAGCTTGTTGACTTTGCTGCTGCCTGTCGTATAGACTTCGCTGCTAGTCTTGTTGCTGAGTCTGAGTCTGTCTGTCCTCCGTCCGTCGGGGGTGAGTGTGCTCTTGGCACGGACGTCGTTGAGGACAGGCAGGAGGACTTTGAGTGTCTTGCAGCCGCTGCGCCTCATCTCGTGGCCATGCTGCTTGCCCCTGAGGGAGACCCGGATGCTCCAGACATCCCGACCGCGCGCTCTTACGCTGAGGCGATCGCGGGTGAGTACTCCTCTCAGTGGCAGACAGCCATGGACGCAGCGATGGCATCCTGGAAGTCCACAGGCACTTACGTCGACGCTGTTCCCCCTCCTGGGGCGAACGGAGTCGATGGCATGTGGATTTTCAGGGTGAAGCGACCGCCGGGTTCTCCGCCTGTGTTCAAGGCTCGTTACGTTGCTAGAGGCTTTAGCCAGCGACAGGGAGTTGACTTCTTCCAGACCTTCTCCCCCACCCCGAAGATGACCACTCTTCGGGTGCTGCTGCACGTTGCCGCTCAGCGTGACTACGAGCTTCACTCTCTGGACTTCAGCACAGCGTTCTTACAGGGCAGTCTGCACGAGGAGATCTGGCTGTGCCGCCCACCTGGCTTCACTGGGTCGTTCCCTCCTGGTACCCAGTGGAGCCTCCGCCGGCCGGTCTACGGTCTCCGTCAGGCGCCACGTGAGTGGCACGACACACTGAGGACGACACTTGCGGCTCTTGGGTTTGCACCTTCCACTGCTGACCCGTCGCTGTTTCTGCGCACCGACACTTCGCTGCCGCCATTTCACATCCTCGTGTACGTCGACGACTTGGTCTTTGCCACTGCTGACACTGAGGCTCTCGCCCTTGTGAAGTCGGAGCTGCAGAAGAGACACACGTGCACAGACCTGGGTGAGCTGCGCAGCTACCTTGGCCTGCAGATCACCCGGGACAGAGCACGGCGCACCATCACACTAACTCAGTCACACATGGTGCAGCAGGTCCTTCAGCGCTTCGGCTTCACTTGGTCCTCCACACAGTCCACTCCCCTGGCTACAGGTCACTCGCTCTCAGCTCCACGTTCGGACGAGTCCGTAGAGCCGAGTGGCCTGTACCCAGAGCTAGTGGGCTGCCTCATGTACCTGATGACCTGCACTCGTCCTGACCTTGCGTACCCTCTTGGCCTTCTGGCACGCTACGTGGCTCCTGGTAGGCACCGAAAGGTGCACTTCGATGATGCGAAGAGGGTACTGCGCTACTTGTGCAGTACATCGGGCATGGGGCTCGTGCTTGGAGGGCGGAGTCCAGTTGTCCTCACTGGGCAATCAGACGCTTCTTGGGTTGACGACCTGGCTACACAGAGGTCGTCACAAGGTTACACGTTCAGCCTTGGCTCTAGCCCTGTTTCTGGCTACACGCTCGTCTTCTGTTCTCAGCTCCAGTTGTGAGGCTGAGATCTACGCCACAGCCATGGCTGCACAGGAGTTACGCTGGCTCACCTACCTGCTGACCGACTTGGGAGAGAGGCCTCGTTCTCCTCCAGTTCTGTACGTCGACAACAAGGCTGCCATTGCCTTGTGTCCGGACCACAGACTGGAGCACAGAACGAAGCACATTGCTCTGCGTTACTTCCTTGCTCGAAAGTTGCAGCAGCGTGGTCAGCTTCGTGTTGCTCACGTGCCCACCCGGGCCAACACGGCTAATGTGTTCACCAAGGCCCTTCCGGCTGGTGATCATCAGCGCTTCTGCACTGCTCTAGGCCTGGTGCCTACGTTTCCTCACTTGCTGTAGACTTTGGTTGTACTGTGATCTACATATATATACCTGCATGTTTACTCTTGCTAGGTAGTGATCACTGCACTGTTGTTGTTGCATATATTTCTCTACCTGTGAACTGGCCTTGTGGCCGTCTTGCTTGTGCTCGGAGTGTGTGGTGACGTTGTGATCCACCTTGAGCTTGCATTGCTTCTCTTGACTGGTCTTGTGACCCCTTGTTCTCTCCCACTTTGCCTATGGGGGTGTGTCAAACTATACCGTATGTATGCTATGATAGAATTTGTAGGCTTTAGTGGGGTACCCAAACACTCTCGTAATCCACCCATTCCTAGCTACCTATTCTAACACAGCGCACGGCGGCAAAGCAGCTCAACGTGACAATGCTGAAATCTTAAAAAAGCACTTGCAATAACATCTAGGTGCGATCGCTGCTTCTCTTTCGAAGCCAGTGTCTGAAGAGGAAGGCAGGTGCCATGTCAACACGTGATTATTTATATATTTTACAACAGCTTCTCCCATGTCCCCCATTGAACACAAATGGTACACTTTCAGATGACTCCACTTGCACGTGACCCGGTGCGTACCTCAGTACTGGGGTAAAGTTGCAAACATAAATTTGCACCACCACACTACTTGCTCCGGCCAATGTACCGGTATAATGAGAATACCACATGCGATATTACCCTGCTAAACCCGAGTTTGATCATCCATTCACTACAATATAACAGCCACTCTTAACAAATAAATTGCAAGCAATCACCGCCTCTAAACAGCAGATTTACCAATGCGGTCAAAGGCGCTAATGCCAGCCACGCGGCCATACACCACACACTCAAGCAGGGAGTTACCACCCAGACGGTTTGCTCCATGCAGCCCACCTGTGAGAAGCACAGGGAACAACACAGCCATGAATTCAACAGGCACGCTGTAACAAAAGAGGCCAAAGAGGCCAGGAATGGGCGAGCCATCTTCTTTGATGATACGGCCGTTAGCGTCAAACTCAACCAACCTTCCACTACGACAAATGGGTGATGGTCACCTTTCACGTTAACCGGATTATCTTCTTTGCGCACCTGTCACTTCGCCGGCGCCGAAGAGGCCGGGAATGGGCGCGCCATCCTCCTTGAGAATGCGGCCGTTAGTGTCAAACTTGAGCCCTCCCATGCAGTAGTGCAGCGACGGCGTGATGATGGCCACATAGAGCGGGGGCTCCGAGGCGCTGTGAGGGAGACAGAGAGGAGTACGGGAGAGGAGTGATGGTGATGAGTTTTGAGACGCCTGGAAAGTCGCTAGTGTCAAACTTAAGCCCTCCCATGCAGTAGTGCAGCGAGGTCGTGATGATGGCCATGTACAGTGGGGACTCCGAGGAGCTGCAAGGGAGAAAGCGAGGGAGATGTAAAGGAGGGGACAGAGGCAACGGGTGGAGATACATCCAGACGAGATACATTCGTCAACAAGAAGAGAAGCGAGGGATCAACTCTTAGGACAAAAAGGCAGGTCCAGTGAAGCCATTGTTGTCGAATTGGAGCGCAGGCGGACGGACATCACTCACTTGAAGGGCACAGGGAAGATGGAAGGCGGCACTCACTTGAAGAGAACAGGGAAGATGGAAGGCGGCACTCACTTGAAGAGAACAGGGAAGATGGAAGGCGGCACTCACTTGAAGAGAACAGGGAAGATGGAAGGCGGCACTCACTTGAAGAGAACAGGGAAGATGGAAGGCGGCACTCACTTGAAGAGAACAGGGAAGATGGAAGGCGGCACTCACTTGAAGAGAACAGGGAAGATGGAAGGCGGCACTCACTTGAAGAGAACAGGGAAGATGGAAGGCGGCACTCACTTGAAGAGAACAGGGAAGATGGAAGGCGGCACTCACTTGAAGAGAACAGGGAAGATGGAAGGCGGCACTCACTTGAAGAGAACAGGGAAGATGGAAGGCGGCACTCACTCGAAGAGAACAGGGAAGATGGAAGGCGGCACTCACTTGAAGAGAACAGGGAAGATGGAAGGCGGCACTCACATCAAGAGAACAGGGAAGATGGAAGGCGGCACTCACTTGAAGAGAACAGGGAAGATGGAAGGCGGCACTCACTTGAAGAGAACAGGGAAGATGGAAGGCGGCACTCACTTGAAGAGAACAGGGAAGATGGAAGGCGGCACTCACTTGAAGAGCACAGGGAAGATGGAAGGCGGCACTCACTTGAAGAGCACAGGGAAGATGGAAGGCGGCACTCACTTGAAGAGAACAGGGAAGATGGAAGGCGGCACTCACTTGAAGAGAACAGGGAAGATGGAAGGCGGCACTCACTTGAAGAGAACAGGGAAGATGGAAGGCGGCACTCACTTGAAGAGAACAGGGAAGATGGAAGGCGGCACTCACTTGAAGAGCACAGGGAAGATGGAAGGCGGCACTCACTTGAAGAGAACAGGGAAGATGGAAGGCGGCACTCACTTGAAGAGAACAGGGAAGATGGAAGGCGGCACTCACTTGAAGAGAACAGGGAAGATGGAAGGCGGCACTCACTTGAAGAGAACAGGGAAGATGGAAGGCGGCACTCACTTGAAGAGAACAGGGAAGATGGAAGGCGGCACTCACTTGAAGAGAACAGGGAAGATGGAAGGCGGCACTCACTTGAAGAGAACAGGGAAGATGGAAGGCGGCACTCACTTGAAGAGAACAGGGAAGATGGAAGGCGGCACTCACTTGAAGAGAACAGGGAAGATGGAAGGCGGCACTCACTTGAAGAGAACAGGGAAGATGGAAGGCGGCACTCACTTGAAGAGCACAGGGAAGATGGAAGGCGGCACTCACTTGAAGAGCACAGGGAAGATGGAAGGCGGCACTCACTTGAAGAGAACAGGGAAGATGGAAGGCGGCACTCACTTGAAGAGAACAGGGAAGATGGAAGGCGGCACTCACTTGAAGAGAACAGGGAAGATGGAAGGCGGCACTCACTTGAAGAGAACAGGGAAGATGGAAGGCGGCACTCACTTGAAGAGCACAGGGAAGATGGAAGGCGGCACTCACTTGAAGAGAACAGGGAAGATGGAAGGCGGCACTCACTTGAAGAGAACAGGGAAGATGGAAGGCGGCACTCACTTGAAGAGAACAGGGAAGATGGAAGGCGGCACTCACTTGAAGAGAACAGGGAAGATGGAAGGCGGCACTCACTTGAAGAGAACAGGGAAGATGGAAGGCGGCACTCACTTGAAGAGAACAGGGAAGATGGAAGGCGGCACTCACTTGAAGAAAACAGGGAAGATGGAAGGCGGCACTCACTTGAAGAGAACAGGGAAGATGGAAGGCGGCACTCACTTGAAGAGAACAGGGAAGATGGAAGGCGGCACTCACTTGAAGAGAACAGGGAAGATGGAAGGCGGCACTCACTTGAAGAGAACAGGGAAGATGGAAGGCGGCACTCACTTGAAGAGAACAGGGAAGATGGAAGGCGGCACTCACTTGAAGAGAACAGGGAAGATGGAAGGCGGCACTCACTTGAAGAGAACAGGGAAGATGGAAGGCGGCACTCACTTGAAGAGAACAGGGAAGATGGAAGGCGGCACTCACTTGAAGAGCACAGGGAAGATGGAAGGCGGCACTCACTTGAAGAGAACAGGGAAGATGGAAGGCGGCACTCACTTGAAGAGAACAGGGAAGATGGAAGGCGGCACTCACTTGAAGAGAACAGGGAAGATGGAAGGCGGCACTCACTTGAAGAGAACAGGGAAGATGGAAGGCGGCACTCACTTGAAGAGAACAGGGAAGATGGAAGGCGGCACTCACTTGAAGAGAACAGGGAAGATGGAAGGCGGCACTCACTTGAAGAGCACAGGGAAGATGGAAGGCGGCACTCACTTGAAGAGAACAGGGAAGATGGAAGGCGGCACTCACCTGAAGAGAACAGGGAAGATGGAAGGCGGCACTCACTTGAAGAGAACAGGGAAGATGGAAGGCGGCACTCACTTGAAGAGAACAGGGAAGATGGAAGGCGGCACTCACTTGAAGAGAACAGGGAAGATGGAAGGCGGCACTCACTTGAAGAGAACAGGGAAGATGGAAGGCGGCACTCACTTGAAGAGAACAGGGAAGATGGAAGGCGGCACTCACTTGAAGAGAACAGGGAAGATGGAAGGCGACACTCACTTGAAGAGAACAGGGAAGATGGAAGGCGGCACTCACTTGAAGAGAACAGGGAAGATGGAAGGCGGCACTCACTTGAAGAGAACAGGGAAGATGGAAGGCGGCACTCACTTGAAGAGAACAGGGAAGATGGAAGGCGGCACTCACTTGAAGAGGACAGGGAAGATGGAAGGCGGCACTCACTTGAAGAGAACAGGGAAGATGGAAGGCGGCACTCACTTGAAGAGCACAGGGAAGATGGAAGGCGGCACTCACTTGAAGAGCACAGGGAAGATGGAAGGCGGCACTCACTTGAAGAGAACAGGGAAGATGGAAGGCGGCACTCACTTGAAGAGAACAGGGAAGATGGAAGGCGGCACTCACTTGAAGAGAACAGGGAAGATGGAAGGCGGCACTCACTTGAAGAGAACAGGGAAGATGGAAGGCGGCACTCACTTGAAGAGAACAGGGAAGATGGAAGGCGGCACTCACTTGAAGAGAACAGGGAAGATGGAAGGCGGCACTCACTTGAAGAGAACAGGGAAGATGGAAGGCGGCACTCACTTGAAGAGAACAGGGAAGATGGAAGGCGGCACTCACTTGAAGAGAACAGGGAAGATGGAAGGCGGCACTCACTTGAAGAGCACAGGGAAGATGGAAGGCGGCACTCACTTGAAGAGAACAGGGAAGATGGAAGGCGGCACTCACTTGAAGAGCACAGGGAAGATGGAAGGCGGCACTCACTTGAAGAGAACAGGGAAGATGGAAGGCGGCACTCACTTGAAGAGAACAGGGAAGATGGAAGGCGGCACTCACTTGAAGAGAACAGGGAAGATGGAAGGCGGCACTCACTTGAAGAGCACAGGGAAGATGGAAGGCGGCACTCACTTGAAGAGCACAGGGAAGATGGAAGGCGGCACTCACTTGAAGAGAACAGGGAAGATGGAAGGCGGCACTCACTTGAAGAGAACAGGGAAGATGGAAGGCGGCACTCACTTGAAGAGAACAGGGAAGATGGAAGGCGGCACTCACTTGAAGAGAACAGGGAAGATGGAAGGCGGCACTCACTTGAAGAGCACAGGGAAGATGGAAGGCGGCACTCACTTGAAGAGAACAGGGAAGATGGAAGGCGGCACTCACTTGAAGAGAACAGGGAAGATGGAAGGCGGCACTCACTTGAAGAGAACAGGGAAGATGGAAGGCGGCACTCACTTGAAGAGAACAGGGAAGATGGAAGGCGGCACTCACTTGAAGAGAACAGGGAAGATGGAAGGCGGCACTCACTTGAAGAGAACAGGGAAGATGGAAGGCGGCACTCACTTGAAGAGAACAGGGAAGATGGAAGGCGGCACTCACTTGAAGAGAACAGGGAAGATGGAAGGCGACACTCACTTGAAGAGAACAGGGAAGATGGAAGGCGGCACTCACTTGAAGAGAACAGGGAAGATGGAAGGCGGCACTCACTTGAAGAGAACAGGGAAGATGGAAGGCGGCACTCACTTGAAGAGAACAGGGAAGATGGAAGGCGGCACTCACTTGAAGAGGACAGGGAAGATGGAAGGCGGCACTCACTTGAAGAGAACAGGGAAGATGGAAGGCGGCACTCACTTGAAGAGCACAGGGAAGATGGAAGGCGGCACTCACTTGAAGAGCACAGGGAAGATGGAAGGCGGCACTCACTTGAAGAGAACAGGGAAGATGGAAGGCGGCACTCACTTGAAGAGAACAGGGAAGATGGAAGGCGGCACTCACTTGAAGAGAACAGGGAAGATGGAAGGCGGTACTCACTTGAAGAGAACAGGGAAGATGGAAGGCGGCACTCACTTGAAGAGAACAGGGAAGATGGAAGGCGGCACTCACTTGAAGAGAACAGGGAAGATGGAAGGCGGCACTCACTTGAAGAGAACAGGGAAGATGGAAGGCGGCACTCACTTGAAGAGAACAGGGAAGATGGAAGGCGGCACTCACTTGAAGAGAACAGGGAAGATGGAAGGCGGCACTCACTTGAAGAGCACAGGGAAGATGGAAGGCGGCACTCACTTGAAGAGCACAGGGAAGATGGAAGGCGGCACTCACTTGAAGAGAACAGGGAAGATGGA